GGAAATTAGAAGAATTTGGTCTTAAAAACAATGTCTTCAAATTTTGCAAATAAACTAGTCTAGTAAGAAAAAAAAAAAGGAACAACGAACAAAAAAATGGCAATGAGAACCAAGAGAAGGAAATAGGGATTATGCAATTATCTTGCGGATATTATAATTAATGTTATAAAACAAAATTTGTGTGAAAAACCAATGTCCTTTGTAGTCTTTAGAATGACATGATGATTTAGGTACTATTTCCAACCTTGAGAGAGCTATATATTTTAGAGATTGCATCCTCTCAGTATTTGTACACAAAAAAACACCTTATTCTTGGGATAGAAGGCTGAAGAGTTCAGTACTCAGAGTTGAGGCAGTCTGAGGACACAGTTCTTAACGGGCTCCAGTTCAGGCCTCTGCCCAGGCAGAAGGACCAGCTCCACGTCATGGACATTAGTGCAGGACGTTTAGTGCACAGAACCCTGCTCCTCCCTGAGACCCCCTCCCACTCAAATGGCATCAGGAGAGAAGACGGTCAAGAAGGGACGAACCTTGAGAGTAAAAGGATAGCTCTGAAGGAAGTGTACATTAATTAAATGTGCTAATGACTCTATGAAATTGATTACTTAGAAAATTTAAAGCCCACCCCCCTGCCCTCCTATACTAATCATCACTGATAATATGAGAATTTTAAAGTAAAATGAGATAACTAACAGAACATTTTAACTTCATTGTTTTTGCACAACTAAGCTTTGGCATTCATCACAGAGCCAAAGAGGAAAAAATTAAGAATTCTTACCAAATCTTGTAGTCTGAAATTGACTGAGCATGCAATTAAGATGCATTAATGATAATTGGTGGCTAGAATGCAAAAGTGAGAGACAGTGAAGAAGGAATAGTTGGAAAATATGGGCTTGGTGATAGAAATGAGGCTGGAAATAAAATGATTAAATTTTGTATGTACAATATTCATTGTAAATACCTATTTTTTTTTTAAGTTTGCAACCACATTTATTAGGAAAATATGTGAAAAATCTCTCTTTAAAGGTAGAAGAGATATTTCAGGAGATTGTTCTTCTGTTTCTATCCAGTTCCATTCAGGGTGCCAGGAATTCAGGATTTCTGGAAGTTCAGCGGCCAGGGTGGCCCAGTCCTACCACAAACCCAGCACACCATGGCAAGTCCCAAAGCAGCACTGTCTGCTCAGCCCCGTCTTCAAATCCAGATGGCTGTGGAGACGACACAGCTGGGAGAGGAGACACCAGAACTCCTCAGCCAGCAGCACTCAATGTGTCTGAGGCAGTGTCCACATCACCTTTTCTTCACAAACTTCTTTCTGGAAGCGTTGGGGTTTAACCGTCTCCTCCCAGCCCCCAAGTTGCTATCTCGGATTTGCAAGATAGCTGACCGGCTGGAGATGTCCTTCTCTGCAAAGGGAGACACCTCCGCTATGTAGTCGGGGGCAAACACATTGGTCTTCTGCCTGGCCTTTCGAGATAGTCGCAACTGAGGGAAGCGCTGGTCTTCCGTCAGATGGGGGTTGATGGCATATTTGCCCCCCTTAGGAGTAGGAAGTGAATACCGGAGGTCTCGTGGGTTCAGCACCTTTGGGTTCCGGAAAAAGTGCATGTGCAGAGTGCCATTGTCACTGATCGTCACAGACACCTTCTTCAGGGTCTTGTTTCCACAGTGGGAACAGAACACTCGGTCCATGTTGGACGTTGTCTTGAAGCAACCGTGGCAGCGCAGGATGTAGCTCCGGGCCTCCTGGATCAGCATGCCATTCACCGCCAGCACGTGCAGCCCCATCTGCAGCAGAACGTTCTGCATGGCAAAGTCTGTCGTCACGCAGCCAACTCGTACGTTGTTTGGGACTTGGCGCTGCTCAAACTCCTGTTGGATCTGCTTAATGTTGCTGGGGGTTATCCACCCACCTCCATCATCATCATCATCATCACCATCACCATCACTATCACTATCTTCATCTTTCCTGTCTTCAGTTCCATTCTCTGCTTCCTTCTCCTCACTTGGAAGAGCTTCACTGCTGTCAAGCAGCAGCTCCTGAAGCTCATCATTAATATTGGGCAAAGGATTTCTCCAGAACAGGAAGGAACTAAACTCTGCGTTCTCGGCTTCACTGGGTGGGCATCCGTGATCTCTTGTTTCTCTCAGGGACTTAGGCTTTGAGGGAAGATGGAAGCCAGAAATGAGTAGAGGAGTTTCTGGGTGCTGAATAGATGAGCTTACTTTAATCTTTTCTGGCTCTTGTTTTAGGTGGGACACCCCAACAAATTCTGCCTCTAGCTGGTATGTGAGCGCCAGCACCTGGATGTCTGTGGCAGAGAGACTGGGATAGTCTCCAGTTTTCTTTGAAAACTCCGTCACCAGCCGGACGTACTCCAGGAAGGGCTCCTTAAAATGCAGCTCATAGGGCAAAACGGCGAGTCGCCTGCGTGTGGCCTTGTCCCTAATCTCGTTGACCACCTCCCGGATGGTGTAGATGTTCTTTCCAATATCCTGGAGAGCCATGTCCCTCAGGAAAGCTCCGGAATCCCGTAAATACCTATTTTAAAAGACACAAACAATGACTTTACACATGGCTCTCACCTGATGAGCTGTATAGGAATCAGACTGACTATATTTGTGAAAGAAATCATTGGAGAAGTTCAATATAATCGGTCAAAACCAGGCCAGGTGCTGATTGTAGTTCAGATTATCAATTACTCATATGCAAATTCAAAATGAGGCTGAAGAAAATGAAAATAAATCCACAGGAACCGAGATACGATCTTGAATCCATTCCATCTGAATTTAAAGATCATCTAAAGAATAGGTTTGAGGCACTGAACACCAGTGATTGAAGACCAGATGAGTTGTGGGATGATATCAAGGATATCATCCATGAAGAAAGTAAAAGGTCATTACAAAAACAGAGGAGAAAGGAAAAATCAAAATGGATGTCAGAAAAGACTAAAGATTGCACTGTAGTGTCAAGAAGCCAAGTCTAAAGGAAAAGATGTTGATGTGAAAGAGCTTAACAGAAGATTTCAAAGGGCAGCTTGGAAGGACAAAGCAAAGTATTATAATGGAATGTGCAGAGAGCTGGAGTTGAGGAATATAAAGGGAAGAACTTGCTCTGCATTTCTCAAGTTGAAAAGAACTGTAAAACAAATTTAAGCCTCATGTTGCAATATTGAAAGATGTTATGGGCAATATATTGAATGACCCAGAAGGCATCAGCAGAAGATGGTAGGAATACACAGAGTCATTGTACCAGAAAGAATTCATTCACACTGAAAAATTTCAGGAAGTCCCATATGAACAGGAGCCATTGGTAATAAAGGAGGAAGTAGAAGCTGCTTTGAAGGCATTGGTAAAAAATAAGGTCCCAGGAATCAAAGGGATACCAATTGACTTATTCCAATTAACAGATGCAGCCTGGGATATGTTCACCAGTCTATGACAGGAAATTTGGAGGATGGTTGTCTTGCCAAGAGATTTGAAGAGGTCCATATTTGTTCCCATTCCCAAGAAAGGTGATCCAACTGAATGTGGAAACTACAAAACAATATTATTAATATCACATACAAACAAAATACTGCTGAAGATCATTAAAAACCGACTAGAATAGTACATAGATAGGGGACTGCCAGAAGTTGAAGCAGGATTTAGAAGAGAATATCATTGGTTCTGTCAGATGGATCCTGGCTGAAAGTAAAGAATACCAGAAGACTGTGTATTTATGCTTTATTGATTATGTAAAGGCATTTGACTGTGTGGATCATAACAAGTTGTGGCTGACACTGAGAAAAATGGGAACTCCAGAGTACTTAATTGTGCTCATGTGGAATCTATACCTGGACCAGGAGGCTGTTGTACAAACAGAGCAGGGGAACACTGCATGGTTTAAAATTGTTAATGGAGTGTGTCAGGGTTGTATTTTCTCTCCATTCCTATTCAATCTGTATGCTGAGTAAATTATCCAAGAAGCTGGACTCTATGAAGAGGAATGTGATATCAGGATTGGAGGGAGAATCATCAATAACTGTGTTAAGCAGATAACACAACTTTACTCGCTGAAAGTGAGAAGAACTTGAGGAAATTATTACAGAAGATCAAGGAATGCAGCCTTCAGTATGGATTGCATCTCAATATCAAGAAAAGAAAAATTCTTATAACTGGACCAAAAGGCAGCATCATGATGATGGAGAGAAGATTGAAACTGTCAACAGCTTTGTCTTGCTTGGATCCACAATTGACACCCCTAGTACCCAGTGTTAGGAAATAAAGAGACGAATTGCACTTGGAAAATCTGCAGTTATGGACATCTCAAAATTATTGAGGGGTTATTGTTGTTGTTATGTGCCGTCGAGT